TGAATTCTCCTTTCTAAATACAGAATAGGATCTACCCCCCCCCGAATTATCACTTCACCTTTCGGGTATGCAAATCAAATATGATGAGGATTACATGTCCATCCTAAATATGAAATCATGTCCCAGGCCAACCGGTATCCCCCCCCCTGAGGTTCCTTTGTAAAAAACACTATGCGGTGACATCGTTTGTTCTAACATAACGCTGTTTCCCGAATCCCTAGCAAAAAAATGAAACGAAGTGCACATGCGCGCGTCGTCGCGCGCGCATGCCGGAATCCTTCAAAAACCTTCGGTGTCGGAAGGATTGCGCAATCGAGGTTCCAAAAAGCATACAAAAAAACATGTTTTCGCAACACTGGTTTGCTAAAAAACTTCCGCGCGAGCTCTTGCGAAATCTTAAAAAATGGAATTATAAAAGAAAAACAAAAACAAACAAAAACAAAAAAAACACGTATTACAAGATTTTGACAAAATGCTACCAAACGGGCTTCGCGCGCGCATGTCGAAGTCTGTCGAACGCCCTTGCGCGTGTGCCGTCGCGAGAACCCTCTGCAAAAAATATGACGTAGCACCCCGCAATTGCGGATAAGAGTGAGGGGGCGGGCGCGGGCGACGCGGGCGTCGTCGAGCCGGCGGACCTCGTGGCCCCTACCTTCCCTGTCGATGGCGCTCTCCTCCTCCTCCTCCTCCTCCTCCTCGTCCTCGTCCTCGTCCTCGTCCTCATCGTCATCCTCCTCCTCCACCTCGTCCTCCTCCTCTTCTTCCTCGTCCTCCCTCTTCCCCCCTCGTCCTTTCATCATCGTCCTCCCATTGTCGTCCTCCCCCTCATCGGCCTCCATCATCGTCCTCCCATTGTCGTCCATCATCTTCATCCTCCCCCTCCTCCCCCTCCTCGTCCTCCCCCTCCTCCCCCTCCTCCCCCTCCTCGTCCTCCTGCTCCTCCTCCTTTTCTTTCTCCACATTCTCCTTACATCCTCTCTTCTTCCGCGTCCTCCTCGTCCCCTGTTTTTCCTCCTGCCTCCCCCTCCTTTCCCGAGATAACTGCAACGCAATTTTTTCCACTTTATGCTCCCCGACTTCTCTGATCAAGGCAACTCGCCAGGGCAAAGTTGCTGGACGGGCTGGTGTGGATGCGCGGAACTTGAAGAGGTCCTTGCGGGCTCAGACGGCATGCAAAAATCCGCCGCCGCGCTTGTGCGGCATTGGTTTGTTCAGTGAACGTGGTTTGGGTCGCGGGTGGGTCGCTGGCTCTCCACCTCCACCTGGAAGGAATGCAAAAGCAGCCCGCCGCAGGCGCCAAAAAAAATAGTTTGTACACTGAACGTGGTTTGGGTCGCGGGTGGGCCGCGGGTTCTCCACCGGGAAGGAATGCAAAAGATGCCCGCCGCAGGCGCCGAAAAATGTGGTTTGTACCCTGAACGTGGTCGCGGGTGGGCCGCGGGCTCTCCACCTGAAACGAATGCAAAAGATGCCCGCCGCAGGCGCCGAAAAATGTGGTTTGTACCCTGAACGTGGTTTGGGTCGCGGGTTGGTCGCGAGTTGGTCACGGGGTGGGTCGCGGGCTCTCCACCTGGAAGGAATGCAAAAAAGCCCGCCGCAGGCGCCGAAAATTGTGGTTTGTACCTTGAACGTGGTTTGGGTCGAATCGCGGGTGGGTCGCGGGGTAGGTCGCGGGTGGGTCGCGGGTGGGTCGCGGGTGGGTCGCGGGTGGGTCGCGGGTGGGTCGCGGGGTGGGCCGCGGGCGGGTCGCGGGGTGGGTCGCGGGGTGGGTCGCGGGGTGGGTCGCGGGGTGGGTCGCGGGGTAGGTCGCGGGTGGGTCGCGGGTGGGTCGCGGGTGGGTCGCGAGGTGGGTCGCGGGTTGGGTCGCGGGTGGGTCGCGGGGCGGGTCGCGGGTGGGACGACGACAACAAACAACAACAAACAACAACAAATAACAACAAACAACAACGAGAACCCGCACCGCGGAATTCCACTTCAGCCACGCACCCAGGGACAGTGAATGACCGTTCGGCCCCTTCACTCTGACGAAGTGCAGACGCGCGCGTCGTCGCGGGCGTATGCCGAAAACCTTCAAAACCCATCGGTTTCGGAAGGATTTCAAAATCGTGTACCCAAAAAACATACAAACACCAAAGGTTTCGCAACACGGATTTTCAACAAAAGCGTGCGCGCGCGCTCTTGCGTCGTCGTCGTCGTCGTACCCGTCCTCCCTCCTCCCACGTCGTCGTCGTCGCCTACGTCGTCCTCTGTCGTTCCTCGTGTTCGTCGTCGTCGCCCTCTTTGGCGTCGTGGTCGTTTCCGTCGTCGTTGTCGCCGTGGTCGTCCTTCCTCCTCCTCCCTCGTCGTCGTCGTCGTCCGTCGTCGGCGTCTCGTCGTCGTCCCTCCTATTTCGTCGCCGTCGTCGTCGTCGTTGTTGTCGTCGTCGTCTTCCCTCCTCCCTCGTCGTTTTCGTCGTCGGCGTCGCCGTCCTTCCTCCTTCTTCGTCGTTCGCGACGTCGCCGTCCTCCCTCCTCCCTCGTCGTTGTCGTCGTTGTCGTCGTTGTCGCCGTCGTCGTTCTTCCTCCTCCCTCGTCGTCGCCTTCGTTGGCGTCGTCGTCGTCGTTGTCGTCGTCGTCGGCGTCGTTGTCGTCGTCGAAGTCGTCGGAGACGTCGTCGGTGTCATCCTAGTCGTTGTCGTCGGTGTCGTCGTAGTCGGTCTTAACGGGTTTTGCAAACCAAGTTGCAGGTGGGTGGGTGGGATGATTGCGCGAGCAGGGGAGATGACGGCTTCAAGTTCAGCAGAGTGGATGCACCCCATAGATCGCACCGCATAGATTGGCCCACATAGACTGCACCCCTCGGAATGCACCGCATAGATTGCACTTGTATGTGTATATGTATATACACACGCATATATAAAACATGAATTTGTCAAGCATGCGCTGACTGAAGGGTTCGCGCGATGAGCATCACCTCTTGTTTGTCAGTGTTCCTGGGGCAAAAACAATTACCTACCCCGTGGGCGTTCTGACGGGGATGGAAGAAACAGACTACTATGGCGGAACGGGTTGACAAGGCGATCGTGGGTTCCCTGGTGTTCTCGCTTGCGTGCGTGCGCGAGTATGATGCCATGATTGGTGGGCGAAGGGGAGACGGCAAATCTTCGGGTGAGGGTTCGGGGTCCTCCGGATGGTGGGCGGAACGCAGCGAAGCAATGGGGGGACATCAAAACAAGAACGACAGGTTGCACAAAGCAGTGCACCTGAGCGGTGGCAATGACGAGGCACGTGGTAACAAGGTGACGGGGGAAGAAAGCACAGATGCAAAGAAGAAACCGATAAGGAGGGACAGATGGCTGCGAGGCAGGGGACCACGACACACGTTTTGAAGGAGAACGTGCACCAGGATCGAGGCACGTCGCTTGGGCGTTGGGAGCCAAGAGCGTGGTAAACTCGTGATCAGCGCATACTAGACCAGACTCGTCATCTCCTCCCTCAACCACCTACATCGTTCCTGGATTGGTTGGTGGGGGCCCGAATGGTCAACAATTGGAAACGATTGCCCGGGTGCGGAAGTATCAATACTTCAGAACACTCAAGATGCTTGCCCCCAAGATAGGCCGGGCTGAATTTGCAAGACCCTCCCACGTGGGAGCTGGCGCTGATGCTGTGATGCTGGCAAGGGTGACATGGCAACATTGTTCAAATCTCGAAATCATGCGTGCGCCTACAGCTCCTATTTTCGAAAACGGAGCCAGCAAAGGGGGGTGTAACAACACTTCCACTACAGATGGAAGACTGGACAATAGGAGCTGGATTAAACTAACCTACCCTCGGGAACCCCAATCCAGCCAGGCACCCACGGACACTGTAAGATCGTTCGGTTCCCATGCCCTGCTAAATGAGCCAGAGGAATGCCCCGAGTAAGACTGCACGGAAGGGCGGCGGAATCGATGGAGCTGAAAGGGCTCAGGAACTGGAGGATGCGCTGTAGGAGGAGAAGCTGGTGCCAAGGAGCCACAGGCAAACGAGCCAACGTGACACTGGTGTTGTCAGACGAGCCGGTAGGATTGGCACCCGCGCGATTCCGACGGTCATCGCGATGCCGTCGGCGCTGTGAGTTGCACGTGCTACTGCCCCGGAGAACACACGCGAAGCCCCTGCCGTTGCCCTCCCCCCCAGGCCCGTCATGGCTGCTCCTCATTTGGGCGCCCGAGTTATCCGGGGTAACTCGGGTCCGGGGTAACTCGGGTCTGGATTCCCGAAAAACTAACCCGAGTTAGCCCTGACCCAAGTTACCCCTGATGATGTTGGGGCTCTGGACGCCCGAATTATCCGGGGTAACTCGGGTCCGGGGTAAATCGGGTTCGGAATCCCGAAAAACGAACCCGAGTTAGCCCTGACCCGAGTTACCCCTGATGATTCGGGGCTCTGACTCATGGCTCGCTACCAACTGGCAGTACGGTGCCCACGCAAAGGCGTGAAGCGAGGTGCGCCGGGCCAGGTGGCGAGAACCACGGTGCCTCCAGCAGCGGCCCCCACGGGCTCGAAAACGGGCTCATCGAGGCCGCTCGCGATCCTTCAATCATGACTACGCTTGTGGATGCCATGACAATGGACACTCTAACAATCCTATCATTGAATGAAGGGTGTGTTTAAAATGTGTAATAAAAATATGTGTCAACCATGTTTTTGTTTGTTTTTTCCATGTTTGAAACATGTTTGAAACATCTGGAAATTATTTGGCAGCACGTTTCCTCTCCATTCATCGACTTCCACAAGACTGCGCGTGTCCTCTCCCAGCCACGACGTGAAGACTGCCGCCACCGAGCGCCACCCAGACTTGAAGGGGCCCTGGGACGCACAAAGAAACACACACAAATACAAGGATTCCCCATCTGTTCCCCTATTTCCTGGGTGTTGTCTTCCCCCCACTGCCCATATTTCCCCATATTTTCCTGGGAGTCGAGTGATTCATTGTGTCTGCGTGCATTTTTCCCCTCCTGAGCCCAGACGGCGCGCCTTGGGCGGCGGGCCGCACCGCGGCGGCGTCGAAGAGCGCCAGTAGCGAGACCGGCGGCGTGGGGGCGGTGGCCTCCACGCGCACGCCTGGGGGGCGGGGGGGCGAGGGGCGGCGAGGGCCGAGCAGAGGCAGGGGCCCTGGGACACACAAATAAAAATGTACAGTCATCGGCCTGACCTAAGGAACGATAAATAAGGAACGAAGCCCCTGTCTTCCAAGGAATCACGCATAGGGAACGATGAGCAAATGATACATAACGCATAGGGAACGATAGATAACGCTTGCAAGCCTAAGGAACGACCGAGCCTCTTTTGAAAAGTAAGCGTTCCTTATTCAAGCCGCTCACTGTACACATTTTTGTGTTGGAGGCTATTTCTCGCCACCCCTCACGAGGATCGTGGCCTCCGAGGGGGTGGCTGCAATCGACGACCCCCCCTCCCGCCCCAAGGGGCCCCCAAGAGCCCCCCGAGAGGCCCCAGGGGAGCCCAAGACGCCGCCAAGGAGCCCCAAGACGCTCACAAGAAGCCCCCAAGAGGCCGCCAAGACGGCCCCAAGAGGCCCCAAATAGCGCTCCAGGGCCGGCGGAATGAGCGAAGCGATTGAATCAAAATGGGCACATTTTTGTGTGCCATATATTAATGTTTGTGGGTGTGGTGAAAAAAAAGATGTGGCGAATCCCAGGGTTCACCACATTTTCCATATTTCTGGGGTCTACGTCTTCCCCCACGCTTCCCATATGTTTCCCTATATTGTCCTGGCGATCGGCGATTGATTTTGTCTGTGTGTTTCTCCCCCCTGAGCAGAGGAAGCTGCAGGGCAGACGCAGGCGGGGAGGTGAGGAGGCAGAGGTGGTGGCCAGGAGGGGGTGGTCTTAGGTCGGGCATGTCCTCCTGCAGGCAGATTCGGCGAGAAAGATAAAGACAAACAACTCAACGAGTCATGAGAAGAAGTCGCAAGAGCACGAGAAATCGCCACCATACTATTTTTCTGCTATTTTAGAATACTCCTCCTGTAGAGGGACATGCCCGACGTAAGGGTGATACGCGGTGGAAGGGGCAGAGGCAGGGCTGGCGGAGGAGGGGAAGCGGGGAGCAGTCTGCAAGGCACTTGGGAGTGGGGGAGGAAGAAGGGAGGAGTAAGACGAAGCAGACGAGGACAGCATCGGGCGAAGATATATCGACAAAATCTGAGATCTGGCGGCTCTGGAGGATGTCTCGGGCGCCGCGGCCCTCGTAGAGCGTTCCAGAACGCTCTGGAACGGATTCATCCTCGTCCTAGCTCCGTCCGAAGGAAAAGGGTGAGGTCGGGAATTGGGTGTGATGGATGAGGCTGGAACGCCGGGCGAGGGATGCGCGGTATAGCCGACCATGCCTATTACCACGTGGCAGCGGTAGCAGGACACGATGACCAGAGTAAAATCGGCAGCATCTCAATACGCGCACGAAGCCCAAAAAGGCTCACGCACTTGCAAGGCTGTGGAATGAGGGGGATTACATAAGAGAAGAACAGGGCACTACAAGGGTAATGCAACTTGTGACGCCTGCAGGCGCTGAGGCGGAAGCCTAGACCTTCTGAAATGTCCAGAAGGCGCCAGGCGAGAAACAGTACGACTCAACTCTCCTCTGGCGAACGTCGTTGGCACCATGTGTCCGATGATGAAGATGCGGAAGAGGATGGTAAAGAAAGCGCGACCACAAATCTCTACACAACTCGGCATCAACATATAGGCCGAGCCAAAAGGTTGCTCGACAAACTGAGAACGCCACACAAGCCGACCTGCACGAGCCGGCCAGGAATGAGCCGTCGAGCCCGGGCAACACAGAGAAGCCGCGAGCCGGCGGTGGCGGGGGTTCTCCTCCCCGTAGCGTCCTGACACCTGGGCGCCGCATCGTCCTGACAGGATGTCCGAGCCGCGTCCCGCCGTGGTGGCGGCGCCCTCCGGCCTGGCACTGCCCCGCCCCCTGTGGTGGGGGAGAGCGCCAGCACACTGCAACGGGGTCGTCTCAGCGAGGCCGCCACAGCAAGCAACTGCTGCGGAGGGGCCGTGCGCGTCTCCAGCGGTGCGCGCCGCGTGCGAACATCGGAACACACACTTGCACAGCGCTCCGACAAGAGAACTGGTGGGCACATCAGCCGCATCGCATCGAGCACCCGTGGTGTCACGACGTGGGGCCGGAGGCCTGCGTGGGAAGGCATACCCATGGCAAGGCGCAGGTCCCTCCAGGGCCTCCAGATGGACGCCAAGGGTCTCCAGGGAACTTCCATGGACCTTCAGAGGCCTTGAAGAGCCTCTAGTGGAGTATTCTGGGATTCCTGGAGGCGGTGGTGCAGCAGGATGGCGGAAGACGGACAGCCCACTTGCACCGCGCACTTGCCCAGAGTATTTCCGCAAAGGTCCCCAAGAGGTGGCGCCAAGGTGGCTCCAAGAGGCCAAAATGTTTCCCTGCGCAGGACCACTGAGAGGCGAGTGTCATCAAGATCGTGTGGGTGCTCGTCCACTTGTGATGATCTCCACGTTTCGGCTCAAGATTTAGGTCGGGCATGTCCTCCTACAGGCGGACGCTGGAAGAAAAATAAGACAGATCAGCACAAATCAGACGCAGTCAACACGGCCCGAAAAGCCGTCCCAAGACGATCTGTTCACTGTTCTCCAGTACTCCTCCTGTAGAGGGACCAATCCCAGCTTGACTCGAAATGGCCCCCTCGTGAAGGGCCTCCGACGCTGCCACGGAGGGGCGAAAAAACGGCGGTGCGCAGGTTTGGACGCCCGAAATGGCTACCGAAAAAATGGGTACTATGCCCAACAGCAAATGTTGTCCCAAACCAACAGCGGCCGCTGTTGGGCAGGCGGCCTCCTGTCTCGAATGGACACAGGCCGCGGCGGCGTGGACAGCGAGCCCTGTTCAAGATGAACAAGATCCGCTGTTGGGCATCGTACGCATTCTTTCAGTACCCATTTCGTGCGTGGAGAGCAGGAGGAGGAGGGGGAGGGGGGGGGGGAGGGGAGGAGGAGAGGAGGAGAGGAGGAGGGGGAGGAGGAGGAGGAGGAGGAGGAGGAGGAGGAGGAGGAGGGGGAGGAGGAGGAGGAGGGGGAGGAGGAGGAGGAGGAGGAGGAGGAGGAGGAGCCTCGCGCCAGCTTCTGGGGCGCGGCCCC